TTACAGGAAGACAACTGATAAAGAACTCATATCTGTGCTGATCATCAGCCTGAAGTAAGTCTATCAGTTTGAAGACTGTACCACCAGGGGATAAAAATTTGCGCACATTGGCAAACTCTCTACTATCACGAGACAGGGTTTTTAGGCCCCAATCTGTGTTGCCTGAATAGCCAAAGATGTTACTGAGAAGCTGTGGAAAAAAGCCATGCAAATTCTGCAAGATAAAGGAAAAAATCAGTATTTAGGCTCACGTTGTACTGATAATACCGACAGCTCACCATGGTCATACCACACTAGGGCTGTGCAGTGCACCCAGTGGCACTTGTCATCTTACTTTTGCTCTTGGACAATTAAGAGATCATTTTTTTTTTCATAAAAATGAAATTCTGCACCCCCTTGAATTTGACAGGTTCAGAGCACTGGGCTCCCTTCATCTTTTATTGTAAAGCATATCCTTTCTGCATGTTCTTGGCCATAGAACACCCAATGTTCAAACTCTGATCTACTGTAGAACAGGGCTGAGTTTTTCAAAGCATGATAGGCACAACACCGGTTTAGTTTGTAGCTGACCTAGGATTAGAACTGAGTTTTAAACAACTTGGCTTAACATTTGAAGCAAGTGCAGTCTGTCTACAATAAATTGAAGAATGGAAATACTATCTCTTGATCAAGCAAATGTGATTTTACTGCCACTCTGCATGGCTCTATCTATGATTTAATTTCATTTGTTTTTCCTGCCATTTAAAGATGGCAGTGTCCACCTAGAAAGCTGTTGCTACTTTAGACACTGCTCACATGATACTTCTTAGCCCTAAAGATTTAATGTTCATAATACTTTTTTATTTTATTTGTAATATAACTGTGTAGAAATTATGTCCTATATGGTGTAAATAAAGAATTGAATTGAACTGTATGTGAAATCTGTTAAAGTTTTCAAAAATAATAAATCTTATTCATCCTCTATTTATTTTGGTTTCGCTACCTTGATTACAATTATTTATAGACTGTGCAGTGTTATTAATAGCACTTAAATAATGATAATAAAAATAATAACTTATTATTTGCAGCATTTCAGTAGACTCCTTGTATGTAGAAACTCTGGGAGTAATGTCACAGGAGAGTTTCCTTTATCAAAGGATCAATAAGTAATTACCTGCGTAGAGGAACCCTCAATTAACTTGTCAATTTCTTCACATCTTTGATGAAGGGGTTTCTGCAAAGCCTCTCTGGACTTGCTCTGAGTCAAAAGCAGAGATCTCTATTACTACATGCACAGTTATAATGTTTACCTAACACCTTTAATGCAAATTAATATGATCGCATAATAACAAAGTTTGTTACAGAGAGGTTCTTTCTGATGTATGTCGATTTTACTATCACTGGAGAAAATATCTATCCCCATACAATGATAAAAAGAACAGTTATTGGTAACTGACAAGTAATTACAGATAGAAGAAATCTTAAAACTTCTAGTTGGCTGGTAACGAGAAATTAGTTTGGAAATGTGTGGACAGGAGATTGAAGGAGACTGTTCAAATGCAGCTTACTGTCTGTAGTCACTCCAAGATCTTTAGCGGCAGGCATAGGCAAAATACTGGCACCACTGCCCAGAGATCTAATTACACTGCATCTCACAAATGCCATACTATGACAAGAGATGAATAACTTCAGTCTTGCCAGGGTTGCACATGAGGTCATTGAAGAGCACCAAGTCATGACATTGCTTGTACAAAGCTCTTCCTTGTTAAGGTGGCAAACACAGTCCAAAGTGAGGAAACAATCACAAGCAATCTGTTAAAAGAGTACGCTGATCTGTTCCACAGTATCGGAAAGATGGAAGGAGTGAAGGTAGATTTGCATGGTGATCCCGTAATAACACTGGTTGCACAGGCCCACAGGAGAATACCGTTCAGTGTAAGACCCAAGCTGGAAGCGGAATTGGAGAAACTCCAGGCTGACGACATAATTGAGAGGGTAGAGAAGCCTACCTGAGTTACAGTAGATGTAGATCTGTCATCAGCATACATATGGCACACTAACTCATCTGTAGCTACGACATCTTCCAATGGAGTGAAAAAGAGAGAGAATAATCTGGGTCCAAGAACTGATCCCAGTGGACTTAATGGGTGATGGGAACTCTCCAGATGAACTCAGTCTCTTTAATGATGACAAATAATGTACGACCAGAAAATTAAAGGGTCGGTTATTTAAGCAAACTCTAACTTAGACCAGGGTTTAACCCTTTAGGTCCCAAGGGTGACCAGCATCAATTTTCTCCTATCAACATGAGAATTACTAAATTAATTAGCAAAGGGTGAAAGCTTTCATGTTAAACCAAATTCTTTCAACTATTCTTAAAACAAATGTGTGGAGATCAGTTTGGAGAATTTGTATGTGGATCTAGGGCTTAAAGGGTTTAAGAAATCTTTGGACCTCCAGATCTCTTCCCTGGATTGATTTAAGAAGACAAATGCTTTTCTAGTCTACACTATATGCTTTAATGAAACTCTTCATGACAAATAATGGCGACCTTGTTCCCAGGTTCTTTCTCCTTGCTCTTTAGGGACAGGTAGGGGAGAACCCTGGAAAGGAGGTTGGACAAATGGTGTTTAGATAATAGTGCCGGGCAAACTGCAAATGACTTAGAACACCGCTTTATTAAAGACTGGTTGAACTCCATTTAAATAACCAGCCCAAAGTGCATAGCGCACAATTTTTTTTCAAGGTGTGTAAAATATGTATTCCAAATTTAAACTTGTCAATTATATTTCAAAACCCAATGTTTTGTTCTTCAGATAGTCCATGTGTCTTAAAATAATGGTTACATTCGATGTTAGGAGAATCCAACTCTAAATCTTGGGCATTCTGTGGTTCTTGCGTATCCTGTATTACTAGGGGGTGACCTTCCAGTCTGGAGAGTATGACAGGTGTAAGCACGAGTTTTTTTTAATAATATGTAAGAAATAAGTGCCTAAAAACAGCCTTGCACGCACGAGATCTCCTCGAGTTCTGCCATAATCTGCAGACGGGGCGACCTTTCAATATATTTTTAGTTTTTTTTTAACATTCATCTGCCATTTCACCTCCATCTTGAATTATTACATTGGAGTGAAGTTGAAGAATTCATGACACTTGTGAATCTTGACTTGATAATCTTGCATCAACAATAGATCGATTACTAGCTTGATAGGAACCAGAAATATGCTCCCTATCGTGTAAGCAAGCATGCAAAAATGTGCACCCAGAAAAGCAAGTAGTTAGATGTGTTTTCCGATGGTAGGATTTTGTGTAGGATGGAATGATTATTCAAACCTAGCTGCTCAGGATTTACATAAGTAACGTAAGTGTGATAGTGCTTTACACTTTCAATCAAATTAGGATGTTTACTAGAAAGGAAACCACATGCATTCCCTACTATATTTTCCGATGTATGATTTAGCTACCAATATGTATAAAAGTACCTTGATTTAGCAATAAACAATGAATGTGATCAGGACTTGAGTGCGTGCAAGTTTCTTAGAGTACTGATAGCCCAAAACTGGCCAGGTCTAGAGATACTCAAGCAGTTGACACTTATCTGTTGGCAACGAAATCAAACTCCCATTTACAACAACAAATAATAACAAATAATATTCTGCTCATGCGTAAAGGAAATCGTGCTTTTCTCCTTCTTGCAATCGCTCTTGCGTGAAAATGGCAGATCGCTTCGCTTCCCAAGGATATTCATTAAAAAAACAAATTCAGTGATCGAATGATTATTTAGCCTGAGTATCAGGTGTTTCTAGGGGAAAAAGAGGAAAGATGGAAGCGAAAAAGGGAGAGAGCTCTTCTCCCTTCTTCTTCTTCTCTCTTCTCCCCCCTCCCTCATCTAAAATCTCCTCTCCCAAGCCCCTTAGGAAGGCCTGATACTCAGGCTAACAATATTATTATTGAACTCGGTCATCGCAAAATATCGTGATTTGTCAGTGTCTCGCAGATCAATAATTTGCCTCAGCCTTCGGCTTTGGCAAATAATTGATCTGCTCCCCACAGACAAATCACGATATTTTGCTCAACCTCATCCAATAATTGTTAATTATTTGTGCTCTATGCATAGCCTGTGTAGCAAGCGTTTCCGTTTGGTGGACTTTCGGTTTTGACCGCGGGAGAAATGAAACGAGAGCCAACTCGTTCCTACGCAGGCTAGCTCTATGCACTGACAAAGGACGGTGCAAAATGTTTTCTGATGTTTGCGTGACACACTTTGCATTATTGGTGTAATTTACACAACTTTGCATGTCAATTTCGACCGTTATCGATATCTCTTCATATCAGAAAACGGAACTCCCTCTTGCCCAGCCACTACTTTTTGGTTCCCTAGAGTTTGAGATATCCTACCCTTTTGGAGATATCTTCGAAAATTTACTCTGTGTTACTTCCGTGCACATTTGATTTAACCTCAAAAGCACCCTATCATATACGATTACTACTAGTCCGGGCTACTAGTATTCCATTTTCCAGAATGTCAATTACACCCGCATCTAGAGAAACGAACCCTCGGCGGGAAGATTTGAAACTTAATAAACGTAGCACAGGCTATAATAAACGAAGCAATCACTGCCAGCTGTTCCGTACACACGTCCACTGCTTTTGGTACGAATTAGAACAGAAAACATACATTTTCTGGTAGAAAACAAACTGAAATTGATATGAGTTGTCATTTAGCTATTACTCTTACCGCAAAGTCGACGTTCATGGCTTTCCTTCCCACGGAAGATCGGTGGCCGGAGTGAATCATTGAGGACTTTCCATGTATTCTTACTTGACGATTCCCGGAAATTGATCATGTGAACGGCACCAGGCCTCCCCTGCGCCCCGCCCCTGAAATACCACACAACGATCATCGACGCCGGGCTAAGTCGCTCTGTACGTATTTTCCAGATTTTTTCCTTTTTAAATAACGAAGAGAGAACAAGTAACCTCAAGAAAATATTCCCAGGGAGCATCCAACAAAAGCAGGCATGTGCGCTTTTGTCAGAAAATCTCATTTCCGTCATGTTTTTGGATCGGCAGCAAAGAAGGACCGCTGCTACGAGGGGTTTAATGTATCAAAGAATTCTGTAGAGTCTCCATACTGCGCCGTTAATCCTAAATTCCTTGCCATCATTATAGCTTCGGCTGGTGGAGGTGCATTTCTTGTTTTAAAACATGACGAGGTAAGCTTTCTTTTTGTTTCAATTTAGTCCTCAATAAAATTGCCAAATTGTTTGGTGTCGAGGGCGCAATTAGCCTGTAGCTGAACTTTTTAAAGTGCACATCAACCTAGAAGTTCATTATTTTTGTTAGTTAGTCTTGCCACTAGTACATCCTTGTTTCAGTGTTGAAGCTGATGAGCTAAAGAAGGAGGAAATTGCTAAGGAGGGTGTAACCTGATGACAAATATGGACACATGAGTGTACTATGTAAGCAAGTGCATGACGGTACTGTCAAAAAGAATCAGAGGTGGGGGTCTGTGGTAGGGATTTTGGGGTAGGGGGATTGTTTTTCTTTTATTTATTTACCGATTAAGTCTTCACTCTTGACAGAGTATTGCAGACTGCTTTAAATAATAAAAATTACTATAATGAATACAACAATAACATAAAATTACTAATCAATATGTAAGATTACACAGGAATTGCCTAAATGAACATGGCAAAGTAGAGGCTATAATTTCTGGTGGGAGATTGTTCCACTGTGCAATATTATTGTTGTAGGGTAAAAAGAGTTCTTATAATAATCACATGTACAACGTGGCTGTTCAAATCAATGACTGAGAGACGAGAGCCTGGTGTCCATGGTGCTCTTATGTTCTCTCTGAAGTGTGTCGCATTCATAAGTGGTTAATCCATTACTCTGTTTGTGCAGCATACAGAGACGTGCATCAGATCGCCTGAGGTCCAGAGATCTCCATTTAAGAGAAGATAACATATTAGTGACACTGTCTAATCTGTCATGGCGCCCGAGTACCCAGGGAGCTGCTCGGCGTTGAATCATTTTGACCTGTTGTATGTTCTTAGCTATGTAAGGGTCCCAGACAGTGGCACTGTATTCAACAATCAGTCTCACTAGGGCTTTGTATCCTCATTCTTTGGATTTGGCTGAATAAGTGCGGAGATTGCGGTGTAGAAAGTTCAGGGTCTTGTTTGCTTTGGTGGTAATTTTATTTACATGATCCTTCCAGTGTAAATCATGCGAGAGGTTAATCCCTAAATATTTAGTAGTATCAACAGTTTCAAGGTCCTTGCCATGGAAGCCTTCCTAAAGAGGTGCATTTTCAGATGGCACTTAAAAATCCCTAGATCTGTAATAGAACGAATCTCACGTGGTAATACGTTCAAAAGTGCCGGAGCTGCGACCTGGAATGATCTACCCTACCTCTATAAGTTGGTATTGCAAGCAACAAACCATCCGAGGAGGATCTGAAATTATGTTTTCAACCCAATGAGTGGATCCACCATTGTAACAGGCTAAAAATGTTCACAAGAAATATTTTATAAACTTTGTTGCATTGGGCAGCAATTTTGGAAACCCAGTACTGAATTCACTATCACAGCGTAGCTTATGCCCTAGTCAAGTTAATTTTCCTCTATGTTTCTTTCTTCATGATGTTATGTTCTCCACACAACATTAATCGAAGGAGAGGTCTGGGGCACATGTTACTATAGGATTTCAGGTACACTGACAGAGGGGTGGTAGGGCAGAGGGAAAGAAATAGCAATCGATATATATTTATATGTTAAGGTGTTAAGATGGTGGAAGCCCATAACTCCATTTGCTAGGATAAGGACCGAAGTCAACTTAGCCAGCCATACAAAGGAGGATCCAGTTAAGGATACAGGCCATTAAATATTAAATCACTACGATGTATATACGAGAAGTAAAAACTACGGATCCTATAACGCCCCAAATAATCACATGAACAGAATAAAACAATGTTTAAAGGGAAATTCTGCCCTGAGTGGGATTTGAACCTAGTTGAGTGTAATAACCACTACATCCTCAGAACAACCACACTGGCAATGCGGCAATTGGAGATGTGATTTACGTGGCTATATATTGTCCTTTGGATGCGGCTTTGTTTCAAAACCTAAAAATTCATATTTTTTTGTTGCATTTGATAAGCTATTCTGCTATACAAATGTACAAAATTAAGAACACCTATGCCCCATTGACATAGTGCTTGCCTGCTATTTGGTTTCCATTCACAGCCTCTGGTTTTTTTTTTACCTTGTTTTATGAGGTTTGAGACAAGAGAAATCTCTTCAATGTTGTTTGACACACAATTTTGGGTGGAAAAAACAATGAATCATCCTTTTTAGAACAAAGTAGCTAAATTTTGTCCAAAAGAAAACTAATGAAGTGAAAGGAAAGGGAAACTTGGTGTGATATTACATAATATGACGTAATGCTGACCACACTGTTTGTCTTTGAAATAATCATTGAAATGGCTGCTCTTTTGGCCACCCAGCAATCACAAACAACTAGAGTCGAAGGTTTCAGATGTGTTTTAAGTCTTCTTTAGTTGTAAATCAACCTGAAACAGCATTAACCTTGGGAAAATGTTTAAATTATAGTGGAAGTCAGAAAGAGAGCCATATTTTACCAATTACCAGATTTTCATTGAAATTGTACCATCAGATGTGATTTAAGGCTAGATTTGTGAAATTAATCAATCGTGTAATATCAGAAGCCCTGGATGTGATGAATACCGTATTACCTTGAATTGATAAGCACCTGGCCGTTTATCTAATGGTACGGCTAAAAGGGAGATGCTTATTGGAAGGACGGTGTTTATTCAAGGGGGATGCTTATTAAATTTTCCTTTTAATAAGGGGTAAATTTGTTTTGGCTCCATCTTTAACAGAAACATGAAATTAATATTAATAGGCCCCTCTTTGTTAAAACATTAGTTTTAGTCCTATTTAATTCCTAACACACAAATGCATTGGTGTGCATGTTTAAAAAATATCGATTCATTCTCTCAAATCATTCTTGTCAGTGATATGCAGATCTTAACATTCCCCTTGTATCCCTACTTCTTAAGAAAGTGAGGGAGAGAATGGGCTTATTCAACAAGGAGCACTTGTTTGATATTAGAGAGCTTAAGCAAGGACAACGGCTACGAAAACATCACTTAAAGAGTGAATTTGCGCTGCCTCAAAATTCATAGCACTCATTCCATCTCGTTTAATTTGTCAAATGTTGAAAAATTTCTTTGGAGTTAAATTCTAAAGGACTGTATCAAAGATTGTGTTCCAGGGCTTCAAGTGTCCCTATATTTCCTATAGTTAATTTAAAACTCTCCCTATGTTTTCCTTTTTGTTTGTAAAATAATGTCCTATAATTCCACAGAAAATAAAAATATACTAAAATCCATGAAATTCTGTTGGTGGAATCACAGGAAAAAATAACAGATTCCCATTTTTGGATATTTTAGGGTATTTAAAGAATACCCCCAAAATCCCAAATTTGGAAGACTGAGACAAGTCCCAACCAGGGAACTTGGTTGGGAATTCCCTGGTTGGGACCTGTCTCACTTTACCAAATTTGGGATTTTTATGGGCATTCTTTAAATACCCTAAAATATCCAATAATGGGAATCTGTTATTTTTTCCTGTGAATGTGACAAAAACAATGCATTTTTTGCACCATCCAAGACCAAACTGGTAATAATTTCATTATTAGTTCATTTAAATACTTAATTTGATGCTGCTGTGAGCGGAGATCATTATCCATATATTGTCCAGATTTTAGAAGGAGTATGCAGCAACTTTGTGTGTGCTTGTTTTTCAAACAGAAGAGGATTGAAATCCACACTCAATAATTGGTTACTTTTTAAGTAGTCAATAAGGAAAATGAGAATTTCAGATTTGTGATGGGGTATCTCTAATAATGTACAAGGTCAAACCTCAGTCAGACAGAATGACTGTACCATTCCCACCACAAGACTAATGTTGCTCCTTTAATAGTAACTAAACACAAAGCCAACAATGCAACTGATGAGGTTCACATACAAAACCGAAACAATGGTCTTGCCTGATCAGAAAGTGGCAGATGTGATTAACTGAACAGTTGCAAGCTGTTAAGCTATAAAAAATTCAAAAGTAATTACCAAAGAAGGAATTACATAATGTTGTGCTTGACTCCAAAGACTCGAGCATTATCTACAAAGAAGTGGAAGGTATCAGTCGTTAAGTATAATTCTCCATAGTTGTTTAGTTGATGTAGCTTCAGTTTATGCTATAATTCCTTCCTTTAAATGGAGATCCATGAGAATTTTACATCCTGCAAGCATCTCTAAAACTCTGGGCCCAGGGCATACAAAGTATAGTAGAGAGTCTTTGCATTCACAGACAAAACAAGCATTTTGGAGCAAACTAAAGAAACTAAAACCTTTATTAAAAGGTTATTGAGTTACAATATCAAGGTTAACGCTTCAAAAGGGGTCAAATTCTATCAGAGACAAAAACCACCAGAAATCAATACGTTTAACACAGACCAGCTTAGGTGTTTAAACAGGAGGATAAAGCTGTGCAGACCCACCACTTTCATTGTTGCACCTAGAAAAAATTCTAACAGTTGCAAAACACAATAACAGTATTTTCACTGTACTTCTTTAGGGTGTGTGTGTGTAAGTATTCCCGACAGTGATCGTGCTCTACCAGTATACCAGGATACCAGTGTTCTGCCTAGGTATTTAAGGCTAGGCAGACCGCCTGGCTTAATTCAGTGGAAAATTGTTGCCACTTGGCTTTAATACTTAAGATTAACTGAATGGAAGCTTATGTTGACATCTAAAGCAAGGTATTTCAAAGGCAAAATCACTCAATAAAGTTGATGAAACATTGTCTGGTGTATTTATTTCTGTGTGTTCTTGCAAGTTATTGAGTAGAAGAATGAATGTGTTCAAACCTATGATGCATTCATTTCTTTGAATGGCACCCATCTTGAAAAACACAAGGGACATTCAAGGAGCTTATGTACATGGAGTACTAAAGGAATCCTTGTGCTCGCAGTCAACCCAAGATACGTGTAACAAAAACGAAAAGCTTGTCAAAGCAACTTGAGTTCTTTTTTTTAAAAAACTTAAAGTAAGTGCCCAAGTCCAAAGCAGGCTTCGTCTAAACACCGTTTACCCCCTGGCCTTCCCAAAATCCTAGGGAGAACACTGGATACTTATGCTGGTGTGCGTTCTTTAGTTGACATATTTAGTAAATATTAAATTTTCGGTTTAATTTCATTCATACAGTGTTTTATTTACCTGAAATATATGTACTCACGGTCTTGTTAATTCAATATGTTGATGTTCGTGTATCTGTTTTCTTTATTGTTATATTTCAAGTACCCTGTTATTGCAATTTTTTACTTTTCATTCCCGCCTCGATTAGCTAGGCTATTTTGCAGTCAACTAGGGTAAATGTTTATATGTATCCTAAGTGTTTAATCAACTTGAACTTGAACTTGTTCACTTTTTTGCTTGCTCAAAGTTGGTGACCTTATTCTGTATAAGTGTTCACCATGCATGTTGGACTAGAATTTATTATGTTCCTTTATTGTTTTATGCTTTTGTGTGTGGCTTTCTGCAAAGTTGCAAAACAGGCACTAGATATTTTCTGTTTTACCTTACCATTTTTCCCTATATTGGCCCTACATTTTTTTAAAATCATCCGTATCTTAAGCCCTATATTTTTGCTTGAGGCCACTTTTCACGTTGTAGTTGTGCAATGACGGCTAAGTAATGTACAAAAAAGCAATGATGGCTTGTCAAAGTTGTTATTTTGCCATTCTAAACCAATTGCTTTTCTTGCCGTTCTTATTGCGGTCGCCCTCATCATTGCTTAAGCTCCCTATTATGGCCTAGGGGCCGGCGTTGGTGGTTATGTGGGTGAGGGCACCTATAAGAGCATTGGCACTTATTCAAGAAAATACAGTTTCACATCATTCTAAACCCTCTTTATTTACTGTAGGTAGGCAGGCTTGATCCTGAGCATGGACGCGTTGGTGGTCACAAACAAGATGTCTTGGACGTGGCCTGGAATCCTTTTGATGACAATATGATAGCTTCTTGCTCTGAAGACACCACTGTTAAGATTTGGCAGATTCCAGATGAAGGGCTGGGCAAGACAATCCTGACTGAGCCCTTGCTAACTCTAGAAGGGCTTCACCAGCGAAAAGTTCATCAGATTCTATGGCACCCTACAGCAGCCAACATTCTTCTTAGTGCAAGTTATGACCCTTCAATTGTCATCTGGAATTTGGAGACTGGAGAGGCTGTCGTTGAAATTGACTGTCACCCAGATCTTATTTACAGTATTGACTGGAATACCAATGGAAGCCTCATTGCAACAACGTGCAAAGACAAGAAGATTCGAGTTATTGATGCACGAAAGGGAACAGTCATTAAGGTGAGAGTGAATTGATTAGAGTGTTTTGCTTGTGCTAAGTCGCTGCTGGACATGCAAACCTGTCAAATGTGACATGTCACCCTGCAGTGTTCACCTTATCAAGCGGTAACCAGTAAAATTTATTCCTTGAAGCAACGCTTCTCAACACCGCCTGTAACCACTTGAAGGTTTACTAAAATTAAGTAAACTGTTTTAAAAAATTCACAGGTTGTGATCCGATCCGATTCTGACACAAGGAAAAGAGTGAATATATGGAAAAGTACTAAAGTATACACAGCTTTTCTTTTTATGAGCTACTCATTTTGGAAAGAGAACATTGAAGACAGTAAAGATATTGAAACCAAACGTTTTAAATTGTTGTCCAAAGATAACAACGGCCGATTTGCGTAAAAATAGGTCTTAAAATGAGGAAATGACGTTTCAGAGAACTTAGCTCCTAAATTTCCAAGCAAGGGCGAGTCCTGTCCCTCACTGCACTAAAATAAAAAGGGAATGATGAATAAAGAAAAGAAAGAAAGACAGGCCTTCTGATAGCAAGCAATAAAAAATCAGGAATAATGCAGCATTTTCAGGGCAGGCTGTGCGATGAGAAAGGTCTATCGTGTGATAAATTATGCATGGTTACAATAAATATTGTAGTAGAACTCTTCTAAAGGTCATGTTACACGAGACGATTCACAATGAGGATTTTTTCCACAACACAGTGTTGCAACATTGTTGCAACATTGCAAGGCTGTGTTATGCTAAAACTTGTCGTTGCGAATCATTCCGTATAACGTACCTAACAATGCTCAGAATGGTCAAGTGCAGCTTTCATTATTGCAATGTCCATTTGAGAATGCTTGAACTCTCACAATGTACTTTTCTATGTTATTCAAATAACAGCGAATGTTCTGGTAATGGATTCTAATTAAAGGACTGCATCTCAGTTCAAAAAAAAGAAGGAAAATTTTTATCTTGTGTTCACTTCCCCCATGAATCCGGTAAATAAAGTTTCATGCTGTAGTCATGCAACATCAGCAGTGCACAAAAAAGCGTGATGCACATGCAAAGTTGTTGTTTTGCCAATCTAAGCCTATTTATTTTTGCCATTCTTGTTGCTGTTGCCGTCATTATTGCTTAAGATCTCTTCTGATTGTATGCCCTCATAGCTTTAGCTTCAGTTTTTCAAAGATTAGAAATTCTTTCTACAGTTCTCAGGGACATATGTACTGTAGTGTGGCTATCATCCTTTTACGTCCACCTCTGTATTTAGGAATTTCCAACTGCTTCAGCATATTATAAGACATTTACCAGATGGTAAATGCAGTTAATGGAACATGAAGCCCCAGGGGGGGGGGTAGGCTAAGGTAGCCTGCCCCAATATATGCTCTGTTCGATCTTTAAAGCCTTATTTATGAATGAAAGCACGCTAATTTTAAGATACAAACAAAAGCTGTTCGTGGTTGGAACCTGACTAATTTGTCGTATGTTTGTCATCATATTTTTCTTAGCATCGTGCCGATTGGTCCCTGTTTTTAAGGCCCTATTCATGGCTAGACTTTAATCATGATAAGACTAGGCAGCTTATGGTACAACTGTATTCATTGGTCGAGATTTGAGACACTGTCTAGCTATAAACTTCTGCTATTGTAGACCTGGTCATTATTCGTTTAGCTTGCACGAAAGCAAACAGTTACAGTAATTTTGTTACCCACCCTCCCTCCCCTGGAGGAGTTTTGTTGTGTTAGGTATCAATAAAGTTTGGGGGGTCACTCCTTGTGGTGCGGTTAAGTCTGCCTTGCAACTTCCCCCAAGCTTTTGGCATTGCTTGTGTCTTGCCATCTTATTCATTTGCCTTAGTCTTGTCCGATCCAGCCCGCGCGGTGCTGGGGAGATAAGAAAGGCTCTGCCAATACTCTTGTCCTATCCCATGGTAGTGGAGCGATAAGTGAGGCTTGTGTTTTTGCTGTGCGCGTAACCTGAAGTCGCTAGAACCTGCCACAGGGCTGTGTCCCCCCCTTATTACGCCATCTTGTGGTATTTGTCTTATTTGCCTGCGTGCGCTATTTAGTTGTGTTACTTTTTCATGCATATCTTAAGCGGAATAGTGACATCAAAAAACATAAGACAGAGGTCTGGATGCGAATTTGCGAAGGTGAAGCAGGCTGTTGTGATTAATATCCATGCTAAAATCCCTCACCCAACACCTAGTCAATGGTGTTTAGATTAGCCTGCAAAAACATCTGTTTTTCCTCGCTCTTCGCCACTGGGGACGTTTCGCGCAGAGAAAAGTCTGTGACTCAGCGACAGAAATTCCATACTGATGACGCAAATCAATGTTTACATAATAAATCCGGCAGCTTTGTGGTTCCAAATATAAATTTGTCCAATTTTACGTGTCTTCTGGTCGATTTTGGCAAAGTGTTGTGTTCACCTGCCAGCAAAATAAATATTGACTGTTTTGTTAGCGATTTTAACCTTTTTGGCCTTTTGTTTCTTGTCTGTCATTCGTAAACAGTAGCTAAAACAATGTAACTACTCAATCGACCAATCAACACTTCTGACCGAATTCTGGACAGATTTTACCTCACCAGTATGGAATTTCTGTCGTTGAGTCGCAGATGTTTGTCCACACGAAAAGTCCCCAGCGGTGAAGAGTGAGGAGAAACGGATGTTTTCGCAGGCTATGTTTAGATCAGAGTGGATTATTTTTTAACATCAACATGAAGGGTCTTAAGCATGCTTTTCGTATGCTTTGCAGGAGGGCAGTGGCCATGAAGGGGCAAAACCACAGAGGGTGGCATTTTGTGGAAATCTTGGTTATCTGTTCACCTGTGGCTTTTCAAGGATGAGTGCTAGGCAGTATGCAGTTTGGAAAGCAGTAAGTTTGATTTTTCTGAAATTTGTCAACATTAAATGATGAAGGGTCATAAATTTGTGCTGGTGATATAAATCATGGTTCATACAATCTTGAAAAGGTCTTGAATTTTAGTAGTGGCCTTGAATTCGGTTAGGGTCCTTGATTTCTTGATTAGGTCTTGAAAAGTCCTTGAAATTCACTACCTTTTTTACCCAACACAATTTTCTTTGAAACTAGATTATTTGGCTGAGGCAAATTTGGCTCATCGTTGGTGTAGGAACCTTTAAAACTGACAGCTAATGTAAAAACGTTTTTGATGAACAATATTTTATTTCTGTTTCTTTATTTTAAATGTTTTATCTGTACCTCATCAGATATGCAACTGCCAGTTATACACAGTGACAGACTGTTGCCATTTTGCAAAGTGTTGTTGTAGAAAGTAGTAAAAAATTATTGTGATCAATCATGGCTGTAAAAGAAACCATAGTGTATGATTCCATAAGTGTGATTTTACTTAACCCGTGAAACAGATAACAACAACTAGTCAATAACATCAACAGCAATTAGTGCATAGTATTGTATTCTACTACCTATTTCATGGGTTAATTAAAATCACTCTAAGTGTTTTAGCCAATAAGTTGTTCAAAAGGGGGTTAAAAAAGCTGATTTATTGAATAAATCTTAGTCCTTGAAAACTGTAATTTGACCTTGTATAGTCCTTGAAGTGTCCTTGAAATTTGTTTGTCTGAAGTTGTATGAACCATGTAATAATATATGAATACCTTTTCTAAGATTGAGAGAGTTGATCATGGCAACAGTGCAGGTCTCCCAAAAGAGCTTCTCAGGGTTTAAAATTAATAGTAGTCCGGTTGTCGAACTGGACAACCAAAAATTATCAATGGGGTAACCAATTTGTGCTGAGTGGTTGCCCCTCAGACAACCCAATCTGCTGAAGCATTAAGCCCTAAAGAGAAATAAATTTTGCAGCTTTTTTCCTTGGAAGGGTTCATGATACCTAAAAGTTAGTTGAATGCAAAACAGACACGGAAAAAATATACTCCGAACTCAACGTTTGGCCTGAATGAGCCTTTGGTGCCTTAACTAGCAGTTTATGTATGTAAATGTAGTCCATGATGCTGACTGCAGTGAGATGTGCTCTGCATTACTGCCATGTTTTTTTCCCTGCCTGCCATAGCCTGTTGATTCTTTGTGTACTTGTAAAATACAATTAGAATTAGAAAGCTCAAAAAAAGGGTTTTTTTATCAGACGTTTAAATAGTCGTGGAGGATTTCATAGTAATGGGTGTAAGAAAGAATGGGGTGCATGTGAGGAAGTCTCTGTCGCACACCTGCTTTTTGCATAACACTTCTAAGCGAGGAATTCCCGATCGTGGCTGCAATTGTTCCAAAGGAAAACGCTTTGTTTTGTAGTTATCACAGATGGTTTTCGAAAGATAAATCTATATTTTGAAGCCAAACAGGTAGCAACAGTTTTCGCCTTGATGGGATAAAAAACATGAAACAAGTGAGGTGCATTTTATTGTGAAAAACTAATAAAACTGTAAATAAATTGAGCTACCTCAGTGTTTTACTTTCGTGGATTGAACTGGGCTATTAAGAGGTTGACTTGGACAGCCAAAATATTCCATGGGCAACCAAACCAAGTCTTGTGGTTGCCCCAGGGGTAACTGGACATAAAGGTAAATTTTGAACCCTGTTTCTAATACTCATTTCTCAAAAAAGATGTTTAGTACGAAAACTAGTACGGTGGCCTATAAAAAAATTTGCATATTTTAGGTGCCTTTACAGCCCAGGGGGTACTCGACCAATACTTGGGTAGAGTTGAGCTGCTGAAACTTTGAAAGCCTGACGCTGTTAAGGACAAAAAAATCCCAAAATACAAATCTTATCTAGGACAACACCCCCAATTATATTTTGCTGTTTAGCAAAGGTATATAGTAATGATTTTTTTAATCTTGCCGTATTTCATTTTGAATATCTGCCTTCAGTATATATTAAAACAGTGGAAAGTATGTTTCGCATGCTCTGATTGGCTACTCAAACTCACAATATCCAGTGCTATTTACCTCCAAGCAATGTCAAACTCACATAAGTTATGAGCAAAATGGCTTCACAGTTTGTTACAGCAAAAAACAAAGAAATTTCACAAATAAATGAAGTAGCTGCAAGGCTGCTGCCTAACGGGGGCCCAGGAGCCTGAGGCTCCTACTGTTTACCCTCAGGCGACCAAAATTTCAAACAAGGAGCCCGAAACGGGTGCCTTAAACTTATGATTCTCAGACTAACTTCCAGTGAACAAACAACAAAATTCCCTGCTCATTCTCCTCTTTTGAAATGATAACAGAAAACATTTGATCATCGGCCACAGGCAAAAAAAAAAATTTCTGCCAATAAAAGGTAAACAAACAGCACTATGTCTTGAAATTTGCTTCTGTGACTACCGCTGCAGAGCAGTTGAAGTTTCTCATCTGAAAATGGCGTTGAATGAATTTAATAGTCTTAGAAAAACCTCCAATAATAAAATCATGACTTTTCCTTCAGCGTTAGAAACGTTAGGTCGCTGCTGCAGGAACACGTAGGTGCTGTTGGTTGGTGCGTTCACTGTGTGTGCAAATGGTTGCTGTTAGGGACTTGTAAGAAATTAGTAGAGGGGGGGGAGGGGGGGTGGGAATTTGAAATTTGGGTTCGGAAATGAGGTGACCCATCCCTGCAATGGGAGTGAAATTTGCTAACCCTCCCCTTGAGCTTAGCCTAGGGGAATTTGAAATTTGGGTTCGGAAATGAGGTGACCCATCCCTGCAATGGGAGTGAAATTTGCTAACCCTCCCCTTGAGCTTAGCCTAAAATATCATGACCCTCCCCCTCTTGTATAAAATGATAAAAATGATAAAATCTACTTCTTGCAATACACTAGGGTGAGTCAGTATTATGAAAACTCAAAATATATTTCTAATCTGTTCTTTGTAATGCTATATACATACATTTTAGGTGACAGCATTAAGAGTCCGACTCTGATTCTGACAGCTGATCACTTGACTCTCCTATTTCTCACAGGGTTTTTTTTACCAAATAAAGAACTTCCTTTTTCTTCTGTGGCTGAGCCTCTACATGATCATGGGCATATATTTGCAAGACCCTCCCCCTTTTAACGGCCCATTTTTCATGACCCCTCCCTTTTCTGAGTCTCAAAAAGTTGTGACCCTCCCTCTGTTTCCACCCCCCCTCCCTCCTGCTAATTCTGATAAGTCCCTTATGTTTCTGGACAAATAAATCATTTCTCGAAATCCTTTCAAGTAGTGAGTATAAAAAATGCTGGTTTCTTGAAACTTGATTCGTTCGAGGTTGGAGTATTGTTCGGGTTTTTTTCTTGTCACGCAATGCTCCTTAAGACTTCCCGACTTATCCAGGAAGATTGAAGGGCCTCTGCTCGCAGGGTATAAATTGATAAACATTACCTGCTCCAAAGATAGATGTTTCCAGCAATACCTCGTTTTAGATATTCTGACCAATCCTGTCAGTTCCTGTGAGTTACACTCACAAAAAAGGTAACATTTTGGGGGAAAATCCACAGCCAGTTTCGCTGTTTTCATATTACTCTTTGAAGATTAAATTTGCCCCTTTCCTAGAAAGTTAGCCAGCTACAATTCCATGCAAAAGAGGAACGATAAAGTGGGCAACAAAGCTGCTAATAAACAAGAAAGGCAAAGGAAAAAAGAGAGTAAGAGAGAAAGATAGAAATAGATTTGCAAAAAAAGATCCAAATTTTGGCGTTTGCATGAAAAACAAAAAAGCATGGTAATTGTGTCAGATTAGTCGAAAAATATGCCTTTTTTCTTGCAAAACCTATTTTTAGCCACTTATGCTAATTAACCGAAAACTAGTCCAAAGGAGAGGAATAAATTATTGGTGAAAAATGCGGTTTTTTCGCTACTCGCTGGCCGTCACCAAAGGGTTTATAAAGTTACTGATCTTTTTTAATTGGGCTCCTAGGAATGCGGCTTGGGCTCCTAACTTTTTATTCTAGGAGCCCGGAGGGCTCCAGAAAAATTTTTTGAGGCAGCAGCCTTGAGCTGTTCTTGACAATGCGAAGTTGGTGACTAAATTTGGTTTAGCAGTTTTACAAGTAAATTTTGGTCTGTTTAACCTGAATTTATGGATGAAAAAGTTTTTGTTTACAATTGCGATTTAAATCTTGCACTGTTTGCCAGTATGCTAGTAGTCTTGCTTTATTTAGATAATTTGTTCATAAATAAGCTTAGAACAAAGTGTTTTAAACAGAATGGTTTCAAATACAGAGAGAATTCACAATTTCTTTGGAAGAGCAAGAGCTAAACAAATGCCTTCAAAAGTTTATTTGTTGGCAAGAAAATGTGACGGCTGTTCGGTCATTTGTGTGCCACAGTATTTTCAAAGTAACCATTGGCAGCAATAAATGAGTTAAAAATCTCAATTTTTAGGCTGAATTATCTCACTGTTTTAGTATATGATGGATACTTACCTCACTGCTTTATTGCACCTTAAATAACCACCACTAGCCACCTTCACATCAGCGAATAATAATTGTCATGTAATAGAACATATTTGAAATATCATTTGTGCATCTAACAAAACAAACTAGCTGAAATTTTGCGGTAAGATTTCCCGGTTACTTTCATCTTAACAATCTGCCATGTCAACATTGATCTTTTCTGAAACAGCGTCTGTGTCTAATGAAGAATCCTTATTGGCTCTCTTTTCTTTGGTATTGAAACACCTCAACTATTTGCCATGTTAAATGTCATGGGTGGTTTCTTTCTTCTTTTTGACATATCCATGGATATTTCCAGTGGTAACTTTATCTCACGAAAGGCTGATCACACTCACCACACCAATTTCCGGCAGTAAAAAGCATCATTTACTGCAGTAAAAGTGTCCCGTGTAGCCACGTACACCTTTTGGAATGATTCACTTCTTTATTTTTGTATTTTGGCAATATTTTCAGTTCTGGTAGATGCAGGCAAACCTTTTTGATAGAAAACCCAGCTGACAAGTGCATCTGAGGACCGTACCAGGCTTCTTGACAAAATTGCTGTGCATTGTATTAAAGAATGCACTGTGGCATTCACAAACCACAAAAGACAAAGGAATGATTTTTTGTTACTCAGGGTAGTGCATGCTTAGTTGTAAAACAATTTTGTCAAAACCAGTCAATGAGTGATGAAAAACCGTTTTTTTTTTTCAGGATACTCTGGAGCGGTTGGCCTTGGAGGAAATTGATCAGTCTAATGCTGTCCTTTTCATTCATTATGACCCTGACACAAAGATGATTTACTTAGCTGGCAAGGCAAGTTTCATTCATATCACTGTTGACTACATTAATTTTATTCTTGTACTGGAATTATAGCTGGTTCAGCGTGCAGAGAAAGTTGTGTCCGATAGAATGGGGCTAGTTGATTTTGCGAGCAGGCAAGTTGAATTTTGTTGGGCTAGTTAGAATGACTCTTGGGCTAGTGAATGTTAGTCACAGCTTGCTGGAAGGGCAAGCTGTAAAACTGACTTTCTCTGCACTCTGTGGTACTTTACCATTGTTAACCTGCACCAATGGCCACCTCTTTACGATGGCCACTTTGTTTTGTCCTGGTGGACACTCTTATTTAAACCTCTCAACAACAGCAATGGCCACTAACCCACATCCCCAACTACCAAAATAACCTCTCGACAACGGCCAGTTTTTTCAGCGACTGATGAAAAAATCAACAAAGGTCATGAATTGGCATGTTTATGATCAATCGCGGCAATCGTATTTTGATTATGCTTCATTTATACTGCTGCAGTTAACAAAAATTGTCTGCAATACTTGCAGCGAATGTTGCGAACCTTGCTTGTTTTGTCACATTAACATTTAGATTCAAGACATAATTCAAGCTTTTTGTGTATTTTATTCTTATACATTATATATGATTAGATTACCATGATTATGGGACACAGTAAGCATGAACTTAGCACAAAAAAACATGTTGTACTCTGTAAAAAAATTGTCATATATCACTCCTACCTCCCCATGATGGCCACCTCTCCACAACGTCCACTTCTTTCTGTCCCCAAAGTGGCCATTGTGGAGAGGTTTGACTGTATATTCCAACTTTGGGGAAAAGGGGAGAGTCTAATTCTACAAACTTAGAAGCATAACTGAAACCCTAAAGCTTATAAATCAGTTCCAATGCAGGGTTTTTTTTAAAACCAATCAAAATTTAATTTAATATAGAATAGCTGATGTGCAAGACTGTTAGTTGTAAACAAAGTGGTATTATAGTGTCAGAAAGTAAAATTCGACCAAAATAATAGTAATGAATAACAATAATAATAAAACTTTAATAATAACATCCCCAACGGGCTTTTCCGAAACTATTTGCAATGTGAATAAACTTAATAAAAGGGTAAGAGAGTAACATCCTAGGCCAGAGTTAAGATCAAATAAGTTAAGCTTAGCCCAGTTTAAGAGACTTCTTAGGGATTACTATGCCTCCACCCTATAGACTTGCTGTACTGTAGAGGACCCCAGAACATGGAAAACAATTTGCCTAAAATGTAATTATGCTCGCACTTTAATTAACCACGTCACCTGCTGCTTTTAGCCTTTTCCATCTAGCCTTTCTTTTTCCCATCCTAATGTTGCTTTTATTTTTGATTTTTTGTCAATTCGGGCCCACAGTAATTGGTTTATCTGTTGTGGTGACCCTGCCATGTGTATGTATGTTATTTATTATTATTATTTATTTATTTTTGGCGAAGCTTAACAAAATAAAATAAAAAATAAAGCTTGATTGTAAAGTTGTGTTCAAAGAAACTAATTATTGTTTATAATAATCATTAAAATTAGAATCCCCAAGAAGGAGAGAAGCTAAGTCTCATAGTTTTACCATACTTACTTGTGTCACAAGTCCACCTTTCACAGCCAGCAAATTACTCTTTTAAAAAAAGTTCAGTGGAACCTCCATTCAGGGGCTGATTTCGGGACCAAGATAAGTGTCCCCTGAATAGAGGTTGGGCTGGGGTTTGTTAATAATTATTAACCAACAAATATTAAAGTTTTATTTCATTTTGCCTTGGAATCTGCTACAGTCATTATTTCAAGCAGCTAGATAATGTGTAAAAAATCATGATTGACATATCTCAGCGATGTTGTGTGTTGAATTCCCACGAGTGCAGTACACTGCTTTAAGAGGTAGTTCATGTTTTGAAAGCTGTTGCCATTGTGTTTTGTGAATGCTTAAAATTATTTTTGTGTTCAGCAGCGGCGGATCCAGACCTTTGGATAAGGTGATGGCCTGGTCTCAAAAAAAAATTTTCACCTCTTCGGGCCTCACTTTGGTCTAAAAATAAAGGGTGGGGCCCCGGCCCCCTGGGCCCCTCCCCTGGATACGCCACTGTTAAGTCATGTTTTCAGTGCTAAAGTGTCCCTTGAATGGACTTAGGAGGTTAAACCTGGCTCTTGGGACCCAGTGAAAGTGACCCTTCCCCGGAATAGAGGTGTCCCTTCAATAGAGGTAACAGATACGAAGATTATGGGAACATTTTCCGGGATCAAAGATTGAAGGTGTCCCTTCAATAGAGGTGTCCCATTGTATCCCTCAACTTATGCATGGGTTGCAAGCTCTAGATAGCCAATCAGCATTTATATAAATCCTTGATGTGAAGTCAAACATTATTATTAACCAGTTTCCAGAGTTCTTTAGCCAAGAGGTTTAAGCCATTAAGTGAAGACAAATTTGTGGACATATTTTGACTTAGTACCAGTGTTGTTTAACTGTCATAGCAATGACATGTCTTCAAGACTGAAATTATTGGTTGCTTTTCTTAACAGGGTGACAGTATCATCAGATATTATGAATTAGTGTCAGAATCTCCACATTGCCATTGGCTAACGAACTACAGTGCCAGCGTACCCCAGCGAGGAGTGTGCTTCATGCCAAAACGTGGCTGCGATGTCACTATCAATGAAGTAGCAAAGTGTTTTAAACTTGTAGCTAAAGGATACTGTGAACCAATCAGCTTTACAGTCCCAAGAAAGGTATTTTTACTTGTAATTTAAATAATAATAATCATTTTAATTCATGGGTGCCCAGAAGTCATGTCAGAAAAAGATTAACCAATTTATGCTCTTGACATCCAAGATGACTTCCGTACAGGTTGCTGAAATGTTGGTATGGTATGTCAACTTCAGTCCTATTCAGGACTTAAACTCTCACCTTTATAATTATAATTCCACCTTCTTTCAAATACAGCAAAAGAAAACATAGCTTATCATATAGTGCTCTTCCTTGTGATACTAGCAAAGAAAAGATAAAACATTTGACCGACTATACTACCAAACGTGTTCACTCGAGTAATTCACCATGGATTACCCCTCAGTTAAAAAAACGCGTACACGAAAGAGGCATTTTCAAGGTAAAAGCGATTCGTTCGGGAAATGTTGATGACTGGCGTAAATTCAAGAAATGCGTAATTCTACAAATAGTGAAGTTAAGTTTCCTAAAAAGGTTTATTTTGACAATGCGTTTAAAGAGAATCGAGGAGACCTGCGTAACTCTCGGCGAATCATAAACGAACTTACATCCAGAAAATCGAAGAGTTCCTTTGTGAAAGAAATTAAACTCAATAATGGCAATTCCATTCATGATCCACTTGAATTATCCGATTCCTTTAACGATCACTTTTGTAATATTGGCCCCAGGCTAGCAAATGAGATTCACGTGGACGAAAACGGTCCTTCGCATGTGGATTATCTGTGCGAGACTTAAAAATGCAGATTCGAACTGAAAACGTCCACTTTATCCAATGTCAAATCCACCGAAAAACCATTACAAAATAACATTGGAAGAGAGAAAGACAGGTATCAGAGCAGTGTGACCCAAGTTGAGTGCCCTCCCCTAAGCCAACATTAACACTTGCTTCTCACTTAGGGCAAAATGTTGGCTTAGGGGAGGGGTAGGTACGCAGTTTCGCAGAAACGTATAAAGATCCATTTGATCATTCACGATAACTAGAAGTAGGTGTCTCCCAGTACCTCAAGAAGTTTGTGGGAAAGGGCCAACAGTAGGAAATAATGGGGAAAGAGATAAAGCCAAGGTGGAAAGCCATCTCAGAAACTGGCTATGTGGTGTGCGGATAGACTTTCTAAAAGTCCTTTTTTTTCCTGGTTAGTTATCGTCGCTCGCTCGGTCGCTGCGCGACCTCATGCATTGATTCTCGCTTCACTCATTTTTAAGAACTTATGAGAGGTCAAGTTTAGTGTGCGGAGGGGTCAATTAGTTTCTGTGTACGTAGCACACATAACCATTATGTAACGCAGGAGGCCGTTTTGAATTTATTTCTCACTTAATTAGTTTCTGCGTACCGCATAGTCAGCTATGAGGAGTATTTTAAGAAATAAAGCAATCTTTAATGAGGAAAAGTGGTTGATAGTTAGGTCCTCAAAAGAAAACTCTGTAAAGACTAAAAACTAGTTTAAAAAAAATGTAAGACTATGAAAAAATTAAAAAACGAAATGAAAATAAAATAGAAAATAAATTTTTACTTATAGATATATTTGATTGAGAACATATAAGTGTCTTAGCGGTTCCAAATATTTCGACGAAAAGTAACTGACGACTACTGACCCTGGCGTCTTGTGGTAATGGATTTGCGAATGTCATTTCTTGATCGTGTATAATAATCGTGAAAAGACGCAGTGTATTCTGCAGTTAAACGTTTTGGTTCAGTTATCTTTTACCTGCATTGTCGCCTTTTACATACAGATCTGATTGTCAAGGCCTCCCATATTAGCTGTGATCACACACAGACTTTTTACCCTAGGTAAACTCGACTTGTTGACAGTTTGCGTAGGGAAACTTAGCCTGGGAAGGGAATTAGGGCGCGAGACCGCGCGAGGGAGGAGGGAGGAGGGGAACGCCTGCAAGCAAGCCATTGTTTTCGCCATCTAGCCTACTAATTAAAAAAATAACAAAAATAACGCAACTGTGAATGACTAGCTGTCAAATAAGTTTGGCCACGATACACGTATTCTAGTCGTATTTATCGCAATGGTTTTCTTTTGTTTTCCTAAAGCAAGAAATCTAAAGTGAAGGTACTATAAAAAAAGTTCAAACGCGCGCGTCCATTGAAGGAATCTTCCTTGAAAGTTGTAACGACGCGTGCCGAGTGACATAAAATCCAGTATAAATCTATTCAAGTTGTTGCTGTCGCTCGCCTTAATTCCCCCTTCCCCTTTTAACTCCTGCCACGCAGGCTAAGGGAAACTTGATGTGACCGATTTTTCCCTAGGTAACTTACCTCGGGGAAATTTTATCGTTAAAGGCTTGGATATGTCTCGAGAACAGTAGACTTTCACTTGACCGCTTCCCCCAAGCTATAGCTTAGGAGAAAAGAAGTACCGAGGTTGCTAGTCAATAGACGTTCATCGGCGAAGGTCTTGATGACAGAACTGGACATAGCTCAAGAAATAACAGCGAGATAAAAGAAAAATACGTCTCTTTGATCGGCTAGATCCCTGCGCATCTTGCCTCCTCGAATTTACGCTCCAAAAAGTTCAACTGTGCGTGAAAACCGTAAGAGCCGATATCAGTAGTGTAGACTACGAGTAGTCCCGATTGTTCCTCAGGGATAGAACAGCGAGCGAAACGCGAGCGCTCGTAAAAATCACCCCACGCGAGAAAGGCGAGACGCGGTGGGGAGATTTTTCGCGTGGGGTGATTTTCACGCGCGCTCGCGTTTCGCTCGCTGTGCTATCCCTGTGGAAAAATGGGGACTACTCGTAGTCTATCAGTAGTGTGACCTTCCCAGAATTTTTTGCGTAGGTAAAACAAAACCCGAGCTGAATTTACCTCGGGAGATTTTTGATGAATTTGACCTAGGTAAATCGGTTTAAGCTAGGTAAAAGTCCGTAGTGTGAGCACAGTTATTGTTCTCTTTTACAGTCTGAACTTTTCCAAGAAGATCTCTTTCCTGATGCAAAAGGAGATGAACCTTCCCTCACTGCTGATGAGTGGCTTGAGGGAAAAGATGCAGATCCCAAACTGATCTCACTTAGACCGGAAGGTTCTGGAGGAGCTAAGACTGCAAAGAAGGTGAAAAAGGGACTTGGGGCACTTGGCAAAAAAGCACCAAAGAAAACAGCACAGGCTGCTGATGAAGAGGTAAGTGATGGCTGTTATTAAGGCCTTGTCCTGGCTCAGATGAGAACATCACCGACCCTAAGTTAAGGTGGACGGCGACATAGAGGGCGGTGACTTTGGCCCCAGCGGCTTGGGGAGGGAGGGACGACGTTGACTTGGCGACAGAAACAAACTTAAAGTTTCCGTAGAGGTGACGGTCGAAGACGTTTTTCCAACTTTATTGAAGGTTCGAGAGAATGAGTTCCCTGAAAGAGATACGAGAGATTTTGGTCTACTTTTATATGATGGTGTCATATCAGATGAGGAATTCGTTCTCTTGTACAATGAAATCTAGTTAAGCGCTTTGTTACTCGAAAGAGAATGTCCGTCGCTTCATTGAGCCTATTTGCTATCTACCTATTGGCACATTTTCCCACGCTCCACAGTTCTTAGGCTAACAACGGCTGGTAATCGAGCTTGCACAGTTCTGGGCTTGAAGCGGTAGGGTTCAATTACAAGAATTTCTTTAGCAAGCTGAATATCGTGAACTTTAGTCCACTCCACATTCTTAAAATAAGAACAAATTAACACGATGGACAATGCGCGCTATAAACAAGACGAGTTCCTTCATCCTGATTTATCAAGGGGTTTATTTTGTCGAATGAATGAACCTATGAACACGTAATTTCATTTTGGCCTATAACTTAAGCAGAATAAAGAAAAGGGTAGAAGAAGATGTTCACATGATGCGAGAATATTAAATGTGATAATTTTATCGCTGAGAATTCTGATCCCGCAGTTGTACCATTTTGACAAGTTCCACCATAAAATAGTGTTACAATAAGTAATTGAGAAAGGTTTACCATTTGAAGTAAACTAAACATTACAGAAACAGATTAAAGCGGTATTCTGTTAAAATAAAGTTATTTTGAAGACAAAAACACGAAGAGAAAACTCACGTTCTCAAGACACCGCCGCACTAAGCTTTCTCACTGTCGCGACGTCCAGTCGACGTAGGCTGGACGGCTGAGATATATGCAGGCAACGTTTATTTCCGGTTGCCGTCCTCCACCTTACCGTCCACCCTAACGTAAGGTCCGTACCATTAGCCTAGGACGGTTGTTATTCTTTGACTCTTTCTCCTCTGCCCATCCTTGTCAATTCAAAAAGGACAGAACTACTCTGTTGTTTGAAAGGCAATGAGACGGCTTTGGTGGTGCAGTGTACCTTGTGCCCTGAGTGAGGGAAATGGGGCTAGATGTTAGTTGGGGTGAATGTCCTTTCTCATCTCGCTGTGTTGAATTTCACTGTAGTCTGTGGTACTAATAGCAGATGCAAAGCGTGGACTTTTGTCCCAAGGGATGAGTTTGGCCATGTCTTTGCCATTGCATTCTTCTTTTAGACAAGAAACTTTGCTTATTATTGTCTCCTCTTCTCAGATGTATAATGAAAACTGGTGACACACTCAGTGCAGGGAGGAAACCCTATAATGGACTAAATTCCCATCCAGGGATTAATACCGATCTCTTATCTGTTTTCAATGGACAAGAGGCTCTTGTAGTCTATATACCCAACTTAAGCACTTGTGAAAAGCGTGAAAAATTAGGCTTCCACGGAGCCCAAACCCTGATCCTGTGATATTGGTGTAGTGGTTTCGCAGAGTCATTTCTGGCTTTATTCCAAAGCTTGAAATTGATATATTTTCATACAGAGTTTACTCTCTATAAGACGGACACGATTCAGTGGGACTGCCTGTTTTGTATGGCAAGAAAAGATTGTGTCAAGGCCATATAATATCCCGTTTTTATGGACCCCAACCTTGTCTCTGTCCCTGAAACGCAAAGAAAGAACATGGCCAATAAAGAGATAAAGATTCAAGTTTACCGCAAACGGCAAACGTCAGACTAAAGTTGAGAATCTCTCAGAATAGAAAATAAGGAGATAAAAACAGCCCCGAACGATTCCTATGGTTAAAACTGGCATAAAACTTCTTATTTTTGTGTAGAAGCAATAAAGAATAAACGGAAAATAAGGGGAAAGCTTGGTCACGTGGTACAAATTCACGTCTGCCGTTTGGCGTAAACGTGAATCTTAATCTCTCTAATATATGGTCATTATGACTTCTAGACTGCAAATCAGCACGTATTTTTTTGTAGGTTAAGAACGCGCGCGCGAGTTTTCAAAGGAAAGGTCTGGAATGAGGGTGAAAACAGTGAGGGAGGGAATATCAAGCCGGCGCTTCACGCCTTGCAAAACCGATTTTGAGCAAAAAACCGAAATCGACTGTTTTGAAGTCTACTTGACTTCACGCTTGGTCGATAACTTACCGTTACTTAGTTATACAGGCTAGTTTCAGGGCAGTGTCTGTTTTGAGAGTGTTCATTGTACAGTCGAACCTCCCGTAAGCGACCAACTAAAATGCGAAGACTTAATGCTCGCTTACGGGAGAGTGTTCGCTCGGAGGACTTTTTAGTTCTTGTTCAATATCCTTCACTGACAACGCAATCGTAAGAAATTTCTGTCTTACGAAATTTCACTCTTTGAAGCTTTCAAAGATTTGCCGCCAACCTGAAGGGAATTTGCATATTATCACCTTTGATTATAGAACCGCACTCGACCTGTAGTCAAGCAAATCATTCTGATTACAGGGTAACTAAGCCAATAAACTAAACGGTACTGCTTTTTTTTACTTCTTCTAAGCCAAGAAAGTTGATCTAAATCTTGCGAACGTAGAAGCTGAGGACTCGTAGCCCTTATTATAGCACTAAAGAACCTACACTGATCATGGAGTTGAGACCACTCGTCAAGTATAATGGTCGCTTGCAAGAGGTTGAAAGCGGTTGGGAAATTATTAGACCGTCAGTCCCGAAAAGTGGTCGCGGTCGCTTAGAGAAGCTGGTCATTTACGAGAAGTTCCATCTGTAAGGCCTCGACTGGGAAATTTTTGGTGCTTGGATAGGTGGTCGCTTACCACACGGAGGCTCAACTGTACTAAGAGGGTTTCTGATGCAGTCATTTTTCTTTATTTTTTCCATATTTCTATAGGATCTAGAGGAATTGGTGAAGAAGCTAAAATTGCAAGTGGACGAACAGGAAAAGCGAATCAAAGCCCTGGAAGAGAAAACGCAGAATTTATAAGTGTACTTGCAAAGGAAACGAAAAGTGATAAAAAATAGGTTCAACTTGCTAATGTTGCATATCAGTTCAGTTTGAAATTAACTTAAAGTTCTAAGCAACTCTTAAGCGTTAGCTGGTTAGCTTGCAAAATTGTATTTTTCGACCGATTATTTGTATTAAAAATTGTTAAGGATTTCAGTGGTGAAAGTATTTTGAGAATTATTTCAAGTTCGCTGACTTGCAAAATTTCTACTGGTATTAGTCCTTGTTTTTCGATTATAAATGATCTCGGCTGATTTCTCCTTTTATTGACCTCATGATCAGTGATACGATTTTTAAATGATTTGAAGATTCTTATAGATAGGTGGAAACTTTTTTTCCTTTTACACATTAAAGCCATTGGATTATAACTGTTTTGTCAGCATTTTCAAACAGTGAATAGCATCAATGTCGTCTTATCACTGGTCTGTAGGCCAATTTACAGTTATGGATGGAAGCGAGGTTCCAGTTGACTTTGTTTTAATACAAACCTTCCTGCTTTATTATAGCCTGCGTAGCAAGCGTTTCCAATCGAGTTATTGCGCGAAATTTTTTTTGCTCTTGTCCCAGCTTTCTAGACGAACCTCGCGAGGAAACGCTTGCTACGCAGGCTAGCTTTATTATGAAAATCAAGTTGCCCTTATGCTAACTAGTGTTTTTCAAGGACAATTTCCATGACAAAGCAAAGGAGGTT